CTTTTCAAATTGTATTTGTCATTTTATCTGCCCAATGAGTTTACAGCAAAACTTTTAACAATACAATTTGTTTTTAGTAAACATCCCATTTCTGTTTTCAGAGCACTCCAGTTCCCTAGCAATGTTCAAGGTGGGCTGTTTTAGTGTCTCAATGCATTAAGCTCACCTAGCACCCCCTTGAGAAGCTTAATCATCTTAAAATTTTTTTTTCATTCTGGTGGCTCTAAGTACTTACTCACCCATGAGGGCCTTAAAAAAACAGGTACTGAGATTTCTTTTTCATTAATGTAGACCCATCACTTAATATAGATCCATGAACATGATAGGTACTCAATAAATATTTGATTAATTAATAAGGCATCTAGCCTTGGAGGATTTCTGCTCCTAATACTAACTGCCTTGTGGAGAAGACTTGGTCCCAAGAGCATCATAACCACTCGTTTTCATTGTTCATCTCAGTTATTACCATAATTGGCTACCTATCCCTGTAATTCATTTTGGAGAAGTGAAATGACATTTAGTTCAACAACACTTGAACATCCGACAATCCTTATTGTCATCTGTGGTTGCACGCTGTTCTAGGCACTAGAAATAGAGCTGAGCAAGTCAGAAAAAGCTCCTATCTTCCTGTAGGTTATATTCTAGGGGGCAATGAAAGACAACAAACAATCCAGACCATAGCAGACAGTGGTAAGGACTATAAAATGAATTCAAATAGGACCTAATGATAGAGGTTGACTGGGTGGCTACTTAGTGTGTGTGGCCAGAAAAGTTCTCTTTGAGGAGGTGACATGTAAACTGAGATATGAACGACAAGATGGAGCCAGCCGAGTGAAGATCAGGGTAAGATCACCCAGGAAGAGAAAACAGCTGTGCAAAGGTCTTGACTGGAAGAGCAGACGTTTAGACAGTGTGAGCAGAGAGTAGTAAGCAAGGAGAAGAGTCGGAGATGAGGTCAGAGAGAGAAAGGGGGTCGAATCATTTGTAAGCGAGGTAAGAAGTTTGGATTTTTAATTTGCAGTGCCATGGAATTAATTGGAGGGTTTTTTGTTTGTGTATTTGTTTTGTTTTGTGGAGACTTTTCTTTTTTCTTTTTTTTTTTTTAAATATGTTTTTTATTGATTTCAGAGAGAGGAAGGGAGAGGGGGAGAGAGATGGAAACATCAATGATGATCGAGAACCACCAATCAGCTGACTCCTGCACTCCCCCTACTGGGGATCAAGTCCAAAACCTAGGCATGTCCCCTGACTGGGAACTGAACTGTGACTGCCTGATCCAGGGGTCGACACTAAACCACTGAGCCACACCGTCTGGGCTAATTGGAAGATTTTAAATCCAGGAGCAATAGAATCTAATTTTTGTTTTAAAAATAATATTAGCCGCTATTGTAAGAATACATTGTAGTAGGTAAGAATGGGTATTATTCCTCAACTAATGAGATTGCCCCTCTAGGTATGGCCCTTATCACAAGAGTAACACGTAGGCAGATGACATCTTCCTGGAGTGTTCCTTGTTCTTGCTCCCCGAGAGCTCATCTGAGGCAGTTTTCTATATCCTAATGCTATGTATCAAAAATTTTGTCTTCTAGGAATCCCTTGATGTTTCAGAGGAATGAGCAGATAGGAATAAGCATGTAAGAGTGCAGGAGTCTGTGATATTAGAGTGTGCGAGAGGTCATATGGGGACTGTTCAGGGAAGGTGTTCATGGCTAGGCATGGGCACCATAAGGAAAAAGCACCTCACTTCCTCACCTGACCTTGGCCCACAAAGTGAGACACTGAAGCCATTTGCTGACAGAATACCTTCCATGCCTGGCCTCCAACCTTTGGGGCAGGAATTAGTAGAATAACCTTTTCATTTATGTCAGTAACCAACAGAATTTTTATATCCTTAATTTCCTAGTTGCATGTACAAAATTGTCCAGTTAATTAGGAAGTGAGGGATTTCAGATATGCCCCTCCGCTGGGGTGTTCTTGCCCGTTGTTTCTGGTCCCTGTAAAGCCAAGAGTTCTTACCACTTGCCCCAGGTGCTCAAAACTCTAGTCAATATTTACAAATTCCTTCCCTAAAAGGACCAGATACTGCTTCCTATATCCTCTTACCCATTATTTAAAAACCTGCCATCACCTGGGCATATTTATTTTCAAGGACTGCATGTGTATGGTGGTTGCTGTTTGTGATTATGCACACCCCTCTTTTATGTACGTCCTAGTCATAGTTTCTTAAAGCTTTTTCATCATATCTTAACATCTAGCACATTTGTAAACTGTGTTAACTTGTTAAGTTACGCATTACCAAAAAAGTCTATTTTTTGGAGAATGTGCTCAATGGGAGCTGATGCCCCTGCTCCCCTCCCCAGTGGCTCTGCTCCTGTCTGTACTAGGGCAATAACAGTATGCGCCTGCTGGATTTATTCACTGCCAGAGTCCTCACAACCTAGAACAGAAAGTGGCACATAATAGATGCTCAAGAAATAGTCACTGAATGAGAGGCTGAATGGGTTGGTTTTTGTCCTGTGTTGTCTCCTGCCAGGCCCCCACCCGCATTGTATGCCCTCCCTATGACCAGCACCCCTAGTGCATCAATTCCTTCAGGCTCAACCCACTATGTTTACGTTCTGACGGGAAAGAGGCAGCACAGAAACAAGAGTTTTGAGGACACAGGAGAGTGCCCTTCCAAGAGTTATCTTCTGCAGAAGACCCAGGAGGATTGACAGTGGATCCTAGCACTGACAGGCATATTTATGCTTGTAGGGGGGAAAGAATCTGCTAAGTGCTTTCAGCCACAAGTCTGAAAAGCCAATGGCCACACGGAATCACTTCAGGGAAATCTAAGAGCAATAAACACAAAAGGGAGGGAGAAAAATTAGAGATCTGGACACTGGCCTGGTGGAAGAGAGCACACCTGTGTGGGAGCTTCAAGCTCGACTTTGACAGATAGGCCCTGTAACCACTAACATCACTAACAAACTTGCAGGGAGGCTCCCAAAATTGGAGGCGGGTAAATTGGAGCAGAGTAAAGTATCCCCAAGAGAATTAAACCTCTAAACCAAAACATAAAGGTTCAGAGTGGTGATACACAGTCTCTTGAGACAGACTGAGGAGCGGGCTTGCCGGAGCCTTTCGGAAAGACACTGTGCCCACACGCATCCAGCCCCACGCCCACGCACGGGCCGTGCCGCTCTGCCCGCACTCGGTGTCAGGAGCCATCTGTGCTGGGCGCGGGGCAAAACCCGCCACGCAGATCTGTGTCCCACTGCTTTGGACAGCGACCCTTAGAAGTTAAACACTCATTTTCAATACATTTTATTGGGCTCTCACATTAAAAAATTAGTCTTATGTTCTTTTCGAGGCAATAGAAGCAACTGCCTAATACCTGCAGCCATCAATTTTGTGTAGAAAGTAACACAAACAAGCTGAAAATTTCAGGAGTTTTATTTTCCCTGATTTAGAAACCCTGGTTAGTTTAGAAAGGTTCTCTGGGTCAGCAATCCCTCGTTGAATACTGGATTTGTGTGAGTGTGATAGAGGGGCCATCTACCCCAAATCAAAATAATCGCAACAACAAAAGGTAGCGCGGTCTTTGGTTCCTTTAATTACTTGGTTTCCCTTCTTCCCTGTTGATTTCCTTCACCAAGATGGCCGCCGCCGAGCTCTCTCCTCATTGGTCGGATTTTCAGCAGGTGGCCCCCGCCCATCAGCTCGCCA